GGGGTTGGGGAGAATTGCACCCTGCCCTGTTGACCTCTGCAGCTCGAGGGGGTTCCTGCTCCCACGCCCTCCCTGGCTCCTCATGTCGCTCGTTTAGTGACAGTAACAAGAACCCTCCCAGAACCAAGTCCTTTTTGGCGTAAAAGATGAACGTAAAACTGTCTACCACACTTAGAACTAAGTGTTAAAAGTAAGCATCACAGAAAAGATGTTAAACCGACTTGAGTAATTCTTTTTTTAAATGTCTGGCATCTCCATATAATACTTGGTAAACTCTACTGTTAGGTAACTGCAGATGAACGTTATTCTGCTAAGAAATTCTAAGTGACCAGGCTATTTTAATAGATCTTCTCCAGTAATCGCAGGATTGAAATTCACGTGGGCTTTGTAGACTAACACAGATGCATATGAATTCAGACTACTCAAGAACAGACTCCCATGACAAGATTCATAAATTGTCTGAAGAGTGTCGTAAATCTGTCTTTAGCTAGTGACTTTTTAAATGGGTCCCCAAAGAACATACAATGTGACTTTGCCAACTTCATTGGAGCAGATGGTTTCCCGTGGTATGTGAACGTACAAAACAAAACCATCTTCCTGTCATGCTCCCCAAAACCCCTAAAATAAAAGATCACTACTGAGGACAAATAGTAAGGCTTTTCTATCCACATTCTATTTTCACTTGGTACCCTGAGTAGGTGTATTTAACGTCCAAGGTTCTATTTTTAGCTCCAGTTTAACAACTTTAAAACCCTGGAAAAGCTCAGAGTTAGAACAAACTATTACCCACAACTGAGGGGAGAGAGGAACATGAACCATAACCACAACCAAAGCAATGACTTTCCCCTCTTTGGGGTCAAGCACATGTTGAAACAAGTGTGTCGCCTTCCCATGTAAAGACGACACTATCAGGCTCACCTCAAAAACACCGCAAGGACCAGCATGTCTGCAGACCGTCCCCGTCCACCTCTTCACCCCGCTGCCTGACACTCACGTGATCTCAAGACCTGCAGCCTCCGTAAAAGCAATGATCTCGCCATCACTCAAATCAGCAGGCGCCTATCAGCGGATGGTAGTTAAAAGGCCTCTCATTAAATGAGTTTTCACTAAGCCTTAGCAACAAACGTGTTAGTACTCCCTAGAATAGTTACATTTTAAGAGAGGTCATCATCCAATACAGATGAACAGCAGACTGATAAAACCTCAGACGAGTAGAACGTTTTGGATCCTCTAACCCTTGTCAGTTACTTGAGAAACAGCATGCAGACTGGGCAGGAATTAAGAGACCCAGGTATTAAAATGCAGTTATTTATCTATGGGGTGGGGCAAAGTAGGTTTACAGTTGCTGCTATGGAAAATAATACAATAATTAATCAATAATAATACAAGAACAAACTCTGTGTTTTGCATACTCACAAGAACAAACTCTGTGTTTTGCATACTCACACTGGAAACCTACGTTTGCCCCGCCCTGTATAGTGACTCAAGCAAGTTAAACTCTTACTCTCTCGGTTAAAAATAGGAGCAGTTTGGTCTCAGAGGCTCCCTCCAACTCTGAGGTCTGTGATTCTTTAAGCCTCCCCTCTGTGTCAGGTAAACTCCAACCACCTGCAGGACATGACTGGCACGCGTGGACACGGGTGTGCGTGTACTCTTTTTCTTGACCTTGACTCTTAATTCATTTGGAGCGAAAGCCAATTAATTCAGCGTACAATCCCAGGGAGCAAATTATATTTAATCTTTATACCGAAGTAGACCAGAAAGAAGTTTAGTATTAGGTCGCTGTTTATTCTTTCTATTCAAAGATTTCTTCAACAAATCATAAAATCGTTACCATAGCAAAATGAAGGGATCAGGGCGGGCTCCTGGAAAAGGCAGAGTTGGTAGGACTGTGCGGACCAGGTCCGTGAGAGACTGTCACGCCGCTTACGCCCCTTTCATTACATTTGCCACAAGCGCAGCCTTCTTGGCAAAGTGAAATGATACCACTTCCCTTGAGAAGGCTATCCTTGGCCACACCTAATACTTGATGACAGATCCGATGCGCTTTGCCGGTTGTCAGTTTGCACATCCCAGGGCCCATCGCAAAACAAAGTAACAAAGCCCAGAAGAGGCACATTGCAACCAGGAGGCCTCTGTGGGGTCTGGCATCCCTAAATAAGTGTCCTGTGCCACCAAAATAACAGGAGTCCTCTCTCCCAAGTCCCATAGAATCGGGTAGACTCCCTCTTCAGATTCAGAGAGACGCCCACAGCCACTGCCTGGCGATTTCTGGAATGTGTTGGGAATTCCACAGCTGTCTGGTGGATCTAGGATCCCTGAAAGACAGCCAATTCACATAACCTACCGAGAGACATAACTGAGGACTGCAGGCAAGTCAGCTACATTTTAGTGTATCTGAAAGTCAAGAAAAAAACAATTTAAATCTTTTTGCATTATGTCAAAGTAACATTTATATAGTATTTAACAGTTCTCAGAAGAAGTAAAGTAATATTAAAGAGGGAAATATTTTTTCCTCGTGGATGCACCAGGAAGCAGCTGGTGATGTTTTACAGGCAACAAGAAACCAAAACTGAACGTCACACTGGCCTCTCCTTGGTCACACAGCAGGGAGCAGGCAGTGAGGTCTCAGGAAATCTCATGCCTGCTCTGAATTCCCTAAGCTCAATTCCCGTCCAGAAACAGACCATTTGAGAAAATTACATGTTAACTAATATGTATGATTTATTGGAATTCTTATTAGAAACCCTTTTTATCGGCAGGTTCAATAAAGGGGACCAAAAATTTTCACCTTACTCTTCTCCTCTGTCTGTTGCCTATAATGCAAAACTTACTTTCCCCTGCTGTCAATATGGGACTAGTTAGGACGATTAAAAGTCATTTTAAAGTGCATTTTAGGATGCTTTTTCCAAAAACATTGGACAGTAACACCTACCCTTCATAACAAGAACTGGTGGGGACGGCCGTGTCACGGACCCTGCTGACTGGGATCTAAGCTGAATCCAGATGTCACGTTGAGAGAGAATAAAAAGAACAGCCTGAAGCTGGGCGCAAACTTTTAACGTGATTTATTCCCATGTCAGTCTATTTTGATTTATGTGAAAACAGTTTAGTCTTCAAGAAGGTAAGTCTGCTTCGAGTGAAGCGGAGTTGAGAGAAAACCTCTGAGATTTGACACGTCAGGAACACAGCAGCTGACTGTTTAAACTTCCCACACTTTAGAGATGCTTCCGGTTCAGATCAGTCCAGCACAAGTAGATTTCTGAGACTCTCTGTTTAATTTTATTTATCCCATTCAAACCCGGCTAAGGACCTCCTGAGACCACATTCCTCCGGACAAAGAAGCTGGCTCTCTAATTCCTCCACACACACTTCTTCCCACCTGTAACAAGGAGCATTAGCCCAAATTTTGGTAGAAAACGTCATTTTGCCTATGCAAAGGCATCATACCCTGCTTGTAATAAAATCTTAACATGGCCAACTTGTTCAGCCTACACGCAAGCTTCATTAGGAATGTCTGTTGTATATCCAAGCAGCTGATGTGACTGACTGTACATAAGGGTCTATGTATGTAGCAAGGGGTATTATTAAACAGTTACTAAAAATAAGTGTGATAATGTGAGTTTTGTATTAACTAATGTATTTGTATTATAAATACGTGTAGTGAAGCAAAGGGCATGAAGAAAAATAAAAAGTAAATTCTCCCCCTGACTTGCAGTGTGCTGATACATATCCCATGTCTCCGAGTGAATCATTCAGATAATAAGTGGCTGGCGGGTAGTTACAATGACTTGATCTGTTTCTTAGTTAAGGATGATTCTTAACACATTAGGTCTCCAGCCATCGGTCACTGGCGTAACTAACATCATCACGTTCTACAATAGGTGGGTCCCGCGTAAAGCCCTGAAATACAATGTGTGGCATGGGAGACCCGTGTGCACACGCAGGTAAGCTCCAGTTCCTTCTCTCCACTGAGACCGCACGCATCATTGCCTTGTCTGAAGAACCGCCACAGCAAACAGAAGCCAGAACCGGCCCCAGGGAGGACGTCAAGGTGGCTGCCTTAGGTGATCCTGTTGTGTCTTTCTGGGCCCCTTTTCTACCCGACATCCAATATTTTCTATGTCATTCATGCCCCTGTTTTGGGATATGCATGAGTCAACCCTTTCTTGCCCTTTCCTCCTTTACTAGGGGGATTTCCCGGGTCCGGGCTGGTTCTCATGGCCCCTGACTGAAGCTAGCTAATGGTACCTGCTGCAAATACTTAGTGGCTTGCACGGCCCCTGAACTCAGCGAACATTACTAAGCACCTTCCAGGAGCCGAGTATGACTCCAGATGTTAAAAACAAAGCGATGAGCAAGACAGCCAAACAGCCATCCCTCGGTCCAGCGGGGGAAGAGAGAAATAACAAACAAAAAGTTCACGGAGACCTAGAGAGCTAAGCATGCAGGACGCAAACTGGACATGACGTGAAACAAGGGGTTCAGGGAGGCTGGGGAGGCGACTAAAAGCAAGCTCACAGTGTCTCGGTTAAGATTCAACGAACATCCGGATCTGAACACGTTTCAGCATTTTAAAATATCCCCACCAAGTTACCCTAAAATACTGAAACAAATTTTTTAGTAGAATGTAGATAATTATTTATCTATTTTTAAAATCGAAATTCAAAGTGTTCTATCCTACCTTACAGAAACAAATGAAATCCCACTGGTACAAAGGATAGTTCAGCAGGTTTAGGAAACTGTAGAAACACATTCTTTTCTTAGCTGGCTCTCTGACCATCAACACAAGGTAACGGGGCGGGAGCGGGGGGCTAGAAACGTAATGTTACTTGTGGAGTGGAAAGCATGACACTCTCAGACCATTTATGGGGACAGGGCCAATCCAAGTCATCGCTGTAAGAAAAACAGAGCTCTGTACCAAGTGTCCACACTCTGAGCCCTGAGAAAAGCGGAGTTGCAGGCGGGGTAAATGACAAGACACCGTTCCAAATCCAAGCAGCTTCCCATTTTATTAATGCTCAAGAAGTAAACTTTGACATTTAATAGGCAAAACACAAATGAAAACACCGAATTTGTATGTCCAGGATCTGTAGACACACACGTGACACGGATTTAATCATCCTAATCGCAATATCAGAACAACTGGTTCTCCGATTTCAGCATAAATTCAGTGTTGGCATTGCTGTTTCGAACTTAGCGTTTTACAGTTAACAGGAAGAATTAAGGACACCCAGGTTCAGGATAATCAGGGATTTCATGTTAAGATATAAATACAGTCTTTAAGAAATAAGCTATATAATAAAATAAGTTTACTTTTGAATAGCAGTACAGTCCTTTTCTTCAGTCAATAAAAATATTCCTTGGTTATAAAGCAGCCTTATTTTGCAAATGTCTTTCAGGAAAATAGCTCTAGTGATATTTGAAATGCCACACTTCTTTTTAAAAAGGTAGCAAAGCAACGGAATTTAGATTTTAAATCGTATATTGCAAAATAGTTCAACATAGTATTTCTAAACACAAAGTAAGCTCCATTCTGAAGGATGATTTTAATCTTATAAAGCAAACCGTTCCGATATTTCTGTTGTCGTTTAAGGTCTAAACATCTACAATTAGAGATCAGTCATTACACATATAGGACGACAAACTTCAATACGTATCCACAACACAGATGTTTTGCATTATTACATCGCTCTATTATGAAGTTTAGTTTGTTAACATGTCCTCAACAAGGAACACAAAAACATGATACAGTTCTGTAGCTTTCTAACAGGATGAATTTGCAACTGAAAATATAAAAACAGCAACAATAGCAAACATCAGCTATATGAATAATAAAACCAAAAAACCCCAAGAAATCATAAACATTTAAATGAATAACTACTACATTCTTCCTAACACCTCTTAATTTGCACTATTCTCTTAAATATAATTTTAAAATGTTTTTCACACCCCAGGAGGAAATCATAGCAAAGGTAAAAGTGCATTGTTTTAAAAGTGCTTCGTGTGTGTGTGTGTGTGTGTGTGTGTTTTAAAGAGATGTCCAATAAGGAAGTTCAATAAGTATATGCAAAAAATTCCAATTATGACTTGAATTCATAAACCTAATCATAGTGTTTGTAATTCACCCAGAGGAGGCAGCCACTAACACAGAGCCAGTGTACACAGAGCTCACTCTTCGTACAGAGGAAAGCAGGAGCCACAGGTCAGGAGAGCTTTGCCCTCTTCTCCAGGGTTAACCAGCTCATCAGTGGCCCTGGGTAACAGACCGCCTCCGCCTTCCTTCTCTGCACTTGGCAGCAGGGGAGAGGCTGAGCTCAAGAGCCGGTAAGGCCCCTTCTGACTCCAGAGTTCTAACATGTCTTTAGATGAGGCACTCCTGGAAGGGCAAATAACTTTGCCCTAAAATGTGAAAATACACTAGTCACAGGGTTACCGTTCTTGTGTTGTACTTATTAGAACAGAAATAAAAACTTCAAAAATACTTGACAAAATAGGTTATGTGAACATCACACGTTAACCAAAGCTAGTGAAAACCCACATGGTTATGGCACACGGAAAATGCAACATTCTGTGCACACATGGCACAGAGTAAGCCACAGCAGCTGGCCACCTGATGGCACACTGTGTCCTAGGGCTCAGAATTTTCTTGGGTCTAAAGCTTCAGTAGCTTTTCCAAATGCTCATTTCAAAACTGTGTTAAGAGAACCATGATCCCCACAGTTCGAAGTGCTAGCTTTTTAAAGGAGTCTCTCTGAATTGGTATAATGGTTTTTAGGAAGATGGCCATATTTTCCAATTTTAAATAGTGGCTAAACAAAGTCGACACTTGCCATGGACTATTTTACATCCCATGTATACATGTATACGTATATGTACACACACACACACACACACACACACACACACACACACACACGCCAGAAGTCTGACTCAGCAGTTCTCATCCACAAGCTTCGACCCATTTATTCCCCGATAGGTCACTCGGCTCGGCCTCACCAAGACTCCGTGGTGCGGCTTGCAGGTGAAATAGCGCGTGTCCCCCACCGCGCCATCGTGTTTCCCCCTGGCGCTGCGGAGCTCCAGTCCCAGCCAGATGCCCGGCGCGAAGTCGGCGGGGCCCACGTAGCGCACGGTGCTCATCTCGTTGGAGCTGGTGAGCAGGACCTGCGCGCCCTCGCGCAGCCTCGCGCGCCCCTCCGCGCCCGCGGCCGTGCTGCTCCAGCTGCGCCGCAGGGCGGCCCGGGACCTGTGCGCGGGGACAGGAAGGACACTCTTACGTGCGGGGGCCACGGGTCATCAGCCGCCGTCCACCGCAGCCCACGGCGCCCTCCCGCAGGAGAGCGCTTCATGGTCACAATCTGATTTTTGACTCTACATAGCAATCACAGAATAGACTTTGTTTGACATTTTAAAAGTCGTTCTCTTCTATTTTAATACTAATCTAGATTTAAGATTTATTTGTACACATGCACAGCGGACCCTGCACGAGCCGGCACGAGCGTCCTTCTTTTGCTCCTTACGACGCGCGCATCGCACATTTTGGTCGCATGTTCTATATAGAAAAGTCGTTTTACAATTGAGTATATATCCTCAAAAGTATATTTCCTTTTTCAAACAGGACCTAAGTCACAATCTGTAGGAGTCAGTAAAGCTACGTTCACTTATTTTCACAGAAAACAGAACTGAAACTGTCTTCAGGTCCGTGGTCACCTGGCGCATAACCAGGCCTGCGGGCGACTCCCACGCGTGGATGGTCTCCACGCGTGGATGGTCTCCACGCGTGGATGGTCTCCACGCGTGGATGGTCTCCACACGCGGATGGTCTCCTCCCGCTTCCCTGGATCATGCTCTTCCCTCACCAACATCTCCACCCGGATTCTGGTGCCTCTCCCCGTTCAGAAGCCTTTCTATCCTGGTTGTCTCTTCTTAGCAATGTCTTCTGTTCTGCCTAAGAACTCCTGAATATCGTCAATAAGCTGGCGCAGAAGGTACTGCCTTTAAACTCACTCAGCTACTCAAGTGAGGAGACAAATTTCAAAATTCTCAAAACCAGCGAAGGTTTTAAGGAAGGGGAAAAAACGCCCACGCGCCCACCCCGCTAAACAGCACCTAAGTGTGCTCAGGAGCAGGGAGCACTGTACCCCTGGAGACGCAGTGGAAGTATTATTTTAAAGACTAGTGAGATTACCTTATGCAAACAGGCTTGATATTTCTTTCATGTATTGCTGAAAATATGAAATCAAATATCTGACTAATTAAGTAAACGGAGTTTTAAAAAATCAATCCACCCTATTGAATGATAACACAAAATGTAAATTCTTCCAGCTTTTATTAACAGTACTAAACAAATTTGAAGATATATGCGGTGTCGTACTTTTAGTCACTGGTGACATTTTTAATTGAGCTCCTCCTCTCAATATCATCACACTTTTTCCCCTCAGTGTTAAAATTCTACCGAGCAATGTAAAAGATACAAAATTCCACTTTTCGGCCTTCACGGAATCCTATCGTGTTCCTCTTGGAAGGTGTTTTTCTAAATCTTCTTAATACTCACTTGGCAAATGCATTTCTCCTGTTAATCTCTTTTTGGGAAGAAGCTGAAGTTGTACTGAAGCTTCTCCTAAAACCTAAATATGAAAGGTCAGAAGAGGAAAAATAAATCACCAATTTGCAGTCCTTATTAAAAGGTATCTTTTGTCATTTCTTCTGTAGATGTCCTATTAGTTCAAATGTTTCTTTGGAAACAGGAAGCAAAGAAAATAAATACATACAGAATATAAAAGTAGTTTAAATTTCATGACAAATTTTCATCTTACCTTTCTCACACATTGTACACATACATGACTAAGTTACGATCATGCCGTTACTTTTGGAAGTTTTATTATAAAAGTTCTTGAAAACCAAATAAATCTGAATTATACATTGATAAAGCTGAATCTTTTTTCTCAAATATTAATCTTGATAAATCATATAAAAATGGTTTTAAAACACTATCACAAAATATATCCAATTTGTAAAATATTAAATAATAAATTTCAGAGCTTATGATTGCTGTCATCATCCCCAAATGACAGAGTAATTAAAAAAAAATAATAAAGATTTCGCAAAAGGTACATTTCTAAAATTGTGATTTTAAAAAGACTAGGATTTCCAGCTCTGGCAGTTAATGGCAGACCAGATGTGCTGAATGAGTCTCCAATTCAAGTGAGTACAATTTAAAACAACTATAATCTGTTTAATTGTTGAACTGACTCAAAAAGCGCAATTTCAAAGAGGCCAAAACCAAAAGAGAGGAACAAGGAGAGGTAGCCAGGCACCAAAGCAACCTACCATCTTGTACCACAGGATGTCCCCGAACCCCAGGGGCCCGGCTCCCCCTCCCTGCCGGCCCCGAGACAGGGAAGGGCGGACAGCCTGGGGCTGCCAACATGAGGACTCTCCCGGACTCCCGGTTACAGCAAGATCCCACACTGCTCACCCCCAGTGCAAGGTGATAAGAGAAACAAAATGAAACACCATTTGGACAAAGACAAAGGAAAACTGGCTTGTGTCAAGTTCAATGTTCAGAAATAGGCAAACTTTTCTCCCCTCAAATGTTGTGATCAGATGCAAGTTTCATTTTGTCTGAGCTCGGGGGATACACAGGGGTTTTGATCGTTCAGGTAATTGTCTTCTTCAGCTTGGGGGCAGGTGACAGATGTCTGCTTCAGGATCACATACACTACACAAATACATTGTATACGCTCTTTGCATACATATATACTTCACAATAAAACGCTTCAATAAATAAAAGCCAAGGAAGAATTATTAGGAAAATAAAACTGTAATCTTACCAGGATAAGAATGATTCTGTTTATTTGAAGAAATTTCTGAAAGCGTATCCAGGGAATCTGATAGTCTGTAAATATAACAAGTAATGCAAACCTCATTAGAAGTTGCTGTCTTCAGATTTAAGATTGGCTCTTAACTGGTTCTCACACTAATGGTTATTTCTTATTTCACTCATTCACAAACATTTACTGAGCATCTATTTTGAGCCAGGAATAAACTTCAATCTAGCATCAGAGACAGGCAATAATCACACAGAAGAGGTCCTTGTTATCTAAGAATAATCAGTACAGAAAAAGTCAACTTAAAGTGAATTCATTTAAAAATAGGGACCTGACTTTACTTCTTTGAAACTTTATCTTCAAAGATGAAACTAAAAAATATGAAAATAAATTCATTTCATATTAAGCTTTAAAAAGGTTAGATTATAGTTGTGAAAACATCACTTTCTTAAATTGTAAAAAGGTATCAGCTGAGTCTCTATGTGTGTGATTTTTTCTGATAAAAGTATATAGCTAATACAATTCAACTTTTTTACTTTATATTTGACTCTAAGCACAATAATAAAGGTCGCTTTCCTGACAGGTTTGTCTTTATTTTTTTAATATTCAAATCATGATTTTTAAAAGGCCAATCCTAACAGTCTCATTTTCTTTCAATTGTTTACTGACCTAAATCTGCAAAGCTTTTATTTTGTCAGTCACTTAGTCCAGCATATATTGTTACCATCAAGAAATCCTGCAACTCTTGAAATATTTGCAATTTCATCTTGCAATTCATATGCCTCTTTTTCATATGATATTCAGCATACAGCAATCAGTGACAGACTGATGAACACAAAATATGACTTGAAAAGAAAGACAGATACTTGAATTAAGTGGTGATGGATACTTGAGAACTTAATTCTAAAGTGATCAGTTCATTAGTAATAAGGATCTATTAGTGAGAACTAAGAATAAGAAAATTAATACTATGCTGATGACCACTTGGGCAAAAAGAGATGGTAGATGATAGATAGATAGATAGATAGATAGATAGATAGATAGATAGATAGATAGATGATAGTTTTCTTCGAATTTGTCTGAAGGAATATTGGTTGGTTTATATGTTAATGGAAGAAAAGGTATAAACTAAATGAAAGGTGGGTGTTAGCAGAAAGCCATCCAGGCAGAGGCAATAACATGTGCAAAGACTCTGGGACAGGAGGCATATTTTTTAAATAGAAAGGGGGGGGGAGGGACTAACTACAATCTGGGAGAAGCTGTGGCAAGTGAGACTGTGACTGGACGTGACTTTATTAAGACTGTCCTCATGCATTCCCTAGTTTAAAATTCTTCCTTCTTCACCCCAGTAAATTCAATAAAAAGGATTTTTTAAATGCTTCCTCTTTGAAGATCAGTGGTGTCTTTAAAGAGCTTCAAAGCTAGCTTAAAATGAGAAACTCCTCAAAATCAGGGACCATGTCTGTTTTATTTGCTTCTAGAATGCCTAGCACAGCACAAAGCGCTAAAAGACACTTAATAGTATTTGATGGTGATGAATGAGACAATCAGAAGATGACAGGAAGACAGCTGGATCGGGATAGCAGTTCATTTGGAGAGAGAGCCCTGCTTCTTTGAAGAGGGGGCTGCTTTTAAATGAATCACCTTAAAGAAGACCAAACAGAAGGCAAGAAAAAAACAAATTAGCAAACATGTGTCCCATTAACAAAGCGAGAACAGGATGAAACCATGTAAAAGCAAGTGGCTTCACCACATAAAGAAGGAAAGCTGTTACGGCACAATTATAAAACTCGGCGCCTGATTTGATCAATACTTACTGTGCCCACAATATGCCACCCGATGCTCTCTGGGTAATCAAACACGAAATGAACAACCCCTGTCCTCATGACTGGGAGACAAAGAAAACTTGTAGGATTGTAGGAGACTGCAGCAATGTGTTAGTGAAGATTTTTCCAAAGCAGCATGAGAACTCAGAAGGCTGTCACTCAGCATGGATTTTACTCCCAAATCAATCATTTATAAGACACAGACCCTGAAGAAAGCCATGAGCCTCTTCTCACCTGTACCAGACTATATGGGCTCAAATCCCCACCTGGGAGCTGTGCACAATTATGCCACTCACTTAACCTCTCTGTGCTTACTTCTCTCATCTGTGAAATGGGGATCATCACAGTACCTGGCCCGCAGGGTTGCTGCTGGAATATGTGTAGAGTGCCCAAAACAGCACCGGCACGTGTACTTGTGACACACTCAGCCTCTCCGACTCCACACCCCGTTCAAGCTGGCTGTGTTCTTGCACAGACATGCGAACCATTAAGGGAATTCTGTTGGTGGCTTGAGTTTTTATGAAAACAGCCCCTTGCCAGAAGGTGCCTCTCCCAAGGAGATGGGGGAAATATGTACAACAATAATGACTGTTTATCAAAGATTTGCAGGAGCCTCGTGACAGGACTCAGATCAACTGGGGTCAATGGACTAGAAACAAAGAGGTTTCTGGTCTCCCTCAGACCCGTGCTGGTGCCCAGATGTTTGCCGTGGGCCATCACCTCTTGCCCCTCCCATTTCCGCTTCCCTTGACATAAAAGAAGCCTGAACTTTGCACTTTCTTAAGATGACCTGAGGACCCACTAGGGCTCCCACGTTCTCAGTTGGTGCTTCTCCATCAGTGAAACTTTCCTTGCTCAAGACTCTGAGGTTTCGAGTTTGGGCCTTTCAAAGCATCCGGCACACGGACCTCAGACCAGTAACATAAATGCTCATCATTAGCTATGACCTCTTTTTCTTCATTTATAAAATGACTACCCAAAGAAAAAAACAAACAAACAAACAAACAAACAGCAACTTGTCTAAAAGCTAGGGTTTAGAAAAAATAAGTTAATAAATAACCTGGGCTGAGTCCAGCTGCACCATTCCCTAATGCAGGAGATCAAAATATGCCCCGCCCCCAACACAAGCCCCTCTGGCACGAGGATTATTTGGAGCTGAAGACCTATGAGAATCAACAAATGCAGGGAGAGGCTTTCTCTGAACTCTTATCTGCCAAAAGCGGATCCTCCAAAAACAGAACTCAGTTGCCATAAATCCCCTCCCCAGGAGGGTCATCAAGCAGAGAGACTGACTTTTACCCCAGGGGAGGAGAGCAGAAGTCCACACCACATCCAGATAGACATTCTCAGAACATCGCACCTCCGTCCATTTTCCTCAGGGCCCGTTAGCAATCATCTGCTCTCCCGTAAGTAACCTCCCCCGACCCTAAGATGCTCTATAAACACCCCAACCTCACCACTCCTTTGGGCAGTCACTTCTCTCTGTGATGTCCCATGCACGTAAAAACACAGTGTGATAAATTTATACTATCTTTTCTCCTGTTAATCTATCTGTTGACAGTTTAATTCACAGACCCACACCCAACCCAGTCCAGCTACTGATGCTGAGGGTAGAGGAAAGGTTTTTCCTCCCCTATCCTAGCCACAAGATTTCGGCTAAATTATTTTACCTTTTGGAAGTTTCCTCCCCTGCACAATGAGAATGCTCTAATACCGCACTGGGTTTGGGGGGACAACGGGGTATGCATCCGAACGGCAGCCCCAGAGCCGCCACTTAGGCAATGCATGGAATGGCGACTGTTATTTCCCAGCTCATCGGACCAAACACTTATTAGGATCCAATAAAGTATTTCATTGAAGACACTTTATAAACCTCAAAGCATATGTTACATCCTATATTATAATAAATAATAAGAAAATTATATCAAGTACATTATAGAAGAAAATTAATGCAAAATTATAAGTAATCATTCAATATGAAAAATGAAGTGAGGAAAAAAAATGGATATATCACCCTGGCCGGTTTGGTTCAACGAATGGAGCATTTGCCTGCGGACCAGAGAGTCCCAGGTTCAGTTCCTGCTAAGGGAACGTACCAAAAAAAAAATGGATATAAAAACTCTTCAACAACCTTGGCTGGTTTGGCTCAGCGGTTAGAGCGTCAGCCCACGGACCAAAGAGTCACAGGTTTGATTCCGGCCAAGGGCATGTACCTCGGTTGCAGTTCATCCCCAGCCCCGGTTGGGGTCATGCGTGTGGCAACCAATCAATGTGTCTCTCTTACATCAATGTTTCTCTCTCTCTCCCTCCCTCCCTCCTGCTCTATCTGAAGATAAATGGAAAAATATCCTCAGGTGAGGATTTAAAAAAAAAAAAACTTCCATGTGCCAGGAGGCCGTCACACAGTCTAGCCGGACGTGCACAGAGACTCCCAGTTGGGCCTGCCCTCCTAGTCTCAGGAATGTGGTTATACCACACTGCTATTTCCTACTTAGAGATTAGCATCCCACCTCCCAGCCACTGGAAAGCATACCAAGCCAACCTCTTTCAGCACGTAAGTCTTTCTACAAAACGGCACCTGGAATTTCACAACGACTTAATTTCTGCTCGACTTCTTTTTTAAAACCGGAGTGAGCTGGTACCGAAGCGCACTATGCTAAGGAGAGACGCCGAGGAGGTATATTACACATAAATCCTTGAAGCTCCGCTTCCCCCAAAGATGTACTGCCTATCTATTTTTGAAAACTAAAGAAATCAGAGGCAAAGCCACCTTGGCTCCATTAGGTCTGAGGGAGAGCGAATGGGGCGCCTGAAGTGAGCAGAGAGCATTCGGACCGGTGTCCGCGGACGGAGGAGCCTGCGGCTCTCCGTGTCCGCTGCGAACTCCGCTGCTAATAGCTGCACACACTCACAGGGTTTGCAGATGAGGGATAAAGGAGGTTTTTAAAATTGCAAATCTCCAGCAAAGCAAATTCAGCTTTCCATGAGCCTCCTCTCTGACGGAGGTGGCTGGTTAACCTCCTGAAAGAAGCAAGAAGGCAGTCGGTGCACGTCTTCGATATAAAATTAGGGACTCTGACTATAAACCATGGCAAATTGCAAGACGTTCTTGTGAATAAACTTGAATTCCATTTTTCCTCACCTCTGCACCCTGGATGGGGGAGCAAATATTCCATATCTGGGAGAGCAACTGAAATACTGCACACCCCCCACGGAACCGTCGTTCTTGCCGTGGGGCTTCTCCAGCTCGATCCCGTACCAGTATCCTAGAACGAGAACGGTCAGCTGTAAAGGCATCTGCACTGGAGCCCACGCCTTTATGCTCGGACACAAACCCAAAGTCTGGATGGTTTCACATTTTCACAGACGATCGTCATGATCATTCAGCTTTCAAATGATAAAATTTGAGAAGTTGAAAAATGAGCAGGGAAAACGTTTTACGAGCTTGATTGCAGAGCTGTGCACTAAGAGGGAAAGCTAAAATGCACAAACACAGATTTGGCAAGGATTAGCTGTGATGCAAGCACAGTGTGACAAACATACATCTGAAAGCTCTAACGAATAAGAAACTGTCCCTGGCTGGGTAACATGGTGTGTGTCGATGAGCAGGTGTAGCCTAATACTGAGATGGATAAATGAACACACAATCTTTTTATTTTACTTTCCCAATATCAGAACATCTCAAACAGTTCTTAAATAATTAAAGAAAGACACAAAAAACAGGGAACTATGACTAGACATCATGGTAACTCTTCTTCCTCCCCCCACCCCCCACCCCCACACTCAGGATGAAAAGAAATCTTTTTAACCTAAATGAAAAGATTTAGGTTAGCTAAGTGGGAGGATATTTGAAAAGGCTTTTAAGTATTTGAAAGGGTCCATTCTGAGAAAAGTCAGAGGATTTCCTTTTCTAGTGAGCCTAAAATTACAGCAGTGAGGTTGCTTTTAGTGTGGTAAATATCAGGTAAGTGGACAGATACTCCTAGAGTAAAGATTCTTAAATTGAGGGCACCTCAAGACCAGTGAAAAGCGCCTCATAACCCATTAATTTATTATTATTATTATTATTAAAAGGAGAATACAGTAGTAATTGTATTTGGTCTCTTACAATTGGTATCAAGTAAAAAAATAAGAATTTCGGTATTGTATTAAGAAAGTTATTTTAAGTTATAAATTCAAAAATACAAAAATATTATTTCTTTCAGATAACTAGTTCGAATAGTCAATTGTGTAATGTTTAAAAAGACAACCAAAGAGTTCTTAGCATTCTCTCCTCTTGTGTTAAAAAAGATGACGCTTGAGCCCATTTCCAAATGTTGGCATTTGCGTGGGAAAGATCACTTGTGTGACTGTGCCTTTTATATCTGAACAGTCCTACTGTGCACAAGTAGACAGCAATGTACATAAACCTGCTGCTTGGCCATAATTACTGCTCTGAAAGTAGGTCATCCCATTTCTGAAGGTCATTAACCAGGTTAGCCTGGCTGCCACTGTTACTTCTGAGTGACAGAGTTATAATTTTCCGCGTTTTACTTCCTCTGCCGCTGACACTTTGCTCCATAATTTTTTGCATTTTCCTGGTTTAATATACCACAGAACTGCTACCTGCTTACCATGGAACTCTTGAAAATGTGTCACACACGGCAGACAGGCAGCCTGTCAAGTGTTCAGGGCCACTACGCATTGTCAGGCCGCGGTGAGGTGCAGACATCTTCCCATCTAAATGGTAATGTTCTTTCAGAGGTGGCACTGATAAAAATGCCGGCGAGATGACGCCCTCTCGGGTCTGGATCTAACCGCCTGTACACAGCCTGGATGTGGCCACCGCTCCACAGAACTGAACGCCGTGACTTCTGATGCCACGAGAAATATACGCGACTCCTTTCTAAAAGGCGGAATGACTTTAACCAAAAAAGGTCCTAACTTGAATTATGTTTGCATGTTCCTTCCCAAATGTCTAAATGCTTCACATTAGGGATTTAAAAATTAAAAGGCAAACTGAACCATGAACTGTATCAAGCAGACTGAACCGCTCCAGCCTTGTCTAATACAGTCACAGAAAGGAAGATGGTGACTGTGAAAAATCAGCCTACCTGTGGGATTCCTAAGTTTTAATTTGAGAACTACCTTAAGAACATCCTAACTGTTCTCAATGACTACCTTGAGGCCTAAGAGGACATGACATAGAAAACATACAGCCCCTCTTAAACCAACTAATCGGACTGCTACGACAGGTGGTTTTAGGGAACAGGAATGTGGGGGTCAGTTCGGCACGGTGCACTCCTGTCTGCATTTCTACGGACAGAGGCACTGGCTGGCTTGCGTGGCTGTCTATACAGAGGACAGCCTTGGGGGAGAGAGGAAGCGTCTCCCTCATAACAAAAGACAGGCTGCTTACCGCCTGTTGTAAAACTCCCGGCTCCTCTCCAATGGAGCAGACCACCGGGTGGGTGGGTGTCACCTGGCCTCTCTGCCTCATGTTCTGGGAACTGGGGCTCAGGGAACAATGGTAAACGACCCTCTGGCTACTGCAATAGTTGTGCGCACTGAAGTCCCCTGTCTCTGGCCCAGCAGCCCACCGCCTTCTGCCAGCACCTGTGAAACCCTGGCGATCTAACTTGTCAGCTTGCAAACAGGGTAAAATCTCAGAACCTTCGCAGACCTTGACGGACTGCTGCAAACATTTAAACTTCCTATTCTAGGGAACACGGCCCTACGTGCTGCGATGCCACCGTGTGTCGAAACGGCACTTTGCTATCTAAAACACACAGACGTGGTTCATTCACCTGGCTTCTACTTGAAATTACAGTCACTAAAAATGCAAAAGAAAAAATAACCTTTACTTCTGCAAGCACAATATATGTCTAGATGGGAATTAATATATAAACACACAAACGCATTTTTAAGGGCCCAGGGTGTGCAAACACCTTGTCATTTTCCTTTGAACCTTGTTTGCCTTTCTCTCCAACCCACTCTGATAGAAGCTCTATGCAGGTAAATCATCATCTACTCCTTTTTAGGATTATCCTCAGCAAAAACCGAATCCTAGCCCTGGCCGGTTTGGCTCAGCGGTTAGAGCGTAGGCCTGTGGACCAGAGAGTCCTGGGTTTGGTTCCTGCTAAAGGCACGTACCTCGGTTGCAGTTTGTCCCCGGCCCCAGTTGGGGTCATGTGGGTGGCAACCACTCGAAGTGTCTCTCTCACACCGATGTTTCTCTCTCTCTCTTCCTCCCTATCTCTTTCCCGCTCTATCTGAAGATAAATGCAAAAATGACCTCGGGTGAAGATAAAAAATAAAAAAATAAAAACCGAATCCTAACATGTTTTCTCTGCCATTCAGCACACTCAGCAATTGGTGAGAGTAAAACTGGAGACAGACAACTACTTGTGACACTAGGCAATTTAACACACAACTGGCAAGAAAAAGTTATCAATAACAGTCAACCTGAAAACAAACAGTCTGCATTTTAATCATTGTTTTGCTTTTTCTACACCATAGCAAGCAACTGTTAATCAAAAAGTCTCTAGAATTACATGGCATTTACATGTAACCTTTTAAATCTTTTGTAGTCTAAAGAATTCAAGCTGCACCAAAGCTATACACGTGAGTTACCCGGAGCAAAGTTTGTTGTCCCGAAGAACCGAATGGTGCCAGCTCTCTGGCCGACCACCAGCACGCGGTCCCCGGGCTGGAGCTGTCCTTCTTCACTACGGGCACTGTTTGCGACGGACGTTGCCGAGGAGTCCGGACCTGTTTAATTGATCGGTGGGGAAGGAGACAGGGCAGGGAAAACAAAGGGGGGAAAAAGCACATTAACCGAAAAATCACTATGTACTCTAACCAGTCTAGTTGGTTGGAGATTTCAATACAAGATGCCTTTCATTATAGAGAACCTACACATCGAGATTCGACCCCTTTCATCTCATGGCACACCTAAACTAATTACTAAAATTCTGCGGCACACCGAAACATGTATTTTTGGCCGATCTGACAAAAAAAAATAGATATTACTTTGATTCATTCACACCAGACGGCTACCTGTTGTCATGTGCTGGCTGCTGTCATTTTCGTACTTGACAATTGAAGAGGGAAGAGGTCAGTGTCCCTGACTGAACAGTCAGGTGCAGCATGTTCTAAATCTCTTGCAGCACACCGGCTGAAAATTGCTGATCTATGGTTCTGTTTCTCGCATGAGAGGCCAAGCTACTCAAAGGAACTGGGAAGGGTTTCCTGAGAAAACTGTCACCACGAGAGTTTAACACACGATTCCTGGTCCACTCCATCTAGGTTGCCTGCCGGCACCCTCTGAGGACAGAGGTTGGCACACTTCTTCTGTCAACGGCTGGAGAGTAAATATTTTAGGCTTTGTAGGCCATACTGTCTCTGTCACAATGACTCAGCTCTGCTGTTGAGCACAAACACAGACAGACAGAATGGGCATGTGTGTTCCAATAAAACTTTATTCACAAAAAGAGGCAGTAGGTTGGGTTTGCCCATGGGCTGTCACTGGCTGATTTTAAAATGCTACAATTACAGTGGTTCACTGGGATTCAGTGTAAATGATGCACAAAGGAATGTGATTTGAAAGTGACATTGCTAGAAGGTTCCAATTACCCCAAACTGATTTCCTCATTAGAAACAAAACCACTCTCTCCTCACCTCAATTCAAAACGGAACCCTGAAATGCCCATTATTAAACACATCAGGAGTCCTGGAGAAATACTGTCTGGAAAGCTGTCTGGTTATAGCAGAGAAGAGGTGGGCCTGGGGGCTTCTCCCATCAGTCTGTAACCAGATCTGAGCAGCTGCATTCTGGGAAGGCGGAGAAACTAAAACCATGGCAACAAACAACCCAGGGAGGAGGAGCAAGGAGGTCTGGATAAAGCTCAATACTAAAGGGTCCTAGGCCCTCGTAATAACTCACATTCCCATAGCACCTTGCAGTTCACAAAGTGTTCTTCTTACTAATTAGAATTATAGGTACGATACAAATTCAGAAATTAACTAAGACATGGTGTTCACAGTTAGCAGGTGGTACACCTGGATTCAAACCCAGATCCTGTGACCAGAAATCCTCAGGTCTGTCCCCGCAGTGTCCGTAGCAACGGACCAAAGACAAGTTCAACAATGGGACACAATGCAGCTGAGAATGCAGACTTGCTCCTCTGCCCTCCCCGATCCATCCTCTCTGCTGCTCTCTCTCCTTAATTCTTTGCCCCAACTTCCCCATAATGTCCACCTTCTGCGGCCCACATCTCCCTCAAATGCAAATCTCTAGAGAAAACAATATGATCCCCCTCTAGAAAAATGTCTGAAGGAGCTGTCTCTGGGTTCCAGACAGGACTTTCTCTCCTGTCTGCCCCAGTCTCTCTCCCGCTCCCTGTAAAAGGTCCTCGTTCTCACCCACCTGAACCTCTCTTCATCCTACTGTACTTACATATGCACACTCCTCAAGTGTATAAAAGGAACAGACAGGTTAAACATTAGGCACACTAGGGTAAAAAAGGTAACTCCATGCCTACACATAAATTTTAAAATTACATAATGGTCAGAAGCCCAAATTCCAAGTGAAGGAGGCCTTAAAGTATAAACGAAAGGAGGACACATCGGCGGTGGCATCGCAGCCCAGCCTCACCTGCGCCTCCCAGCACCAGAGAGAAACGGGGGGAGGGAGGGGGACCTATTCAGAAACTAAATACTCTGGGGAAACAATTTCAGGAAAACTTCTGGGTACTCTACTTTCAGAGTCCCAACTTTTAGGTTTATTTATTTATTTGTTTGTTTTTATCATCAGATAGGGTGGGAGGGAGGGAGGGAGAGAGACAGAGAGAAACATAGACGTGATAGATCTACATCAACTGGAGCCTCCCCATGACCCAACCCGGGCCAAGGACGAACCACAGCCAAGGCACATGTCCTCGACTAGGAATGAAACCTGAGACTCACTGGTCCACGGGTCGAGGCTCTAACCGCTGAGCCAAACCGGTCAGGGCCCAACTTTTAGGTTTATTATGAAAATGTTACTGTTGAGGGTTTGTTTGTATAGTAAAGGGTTTTAAAAAGAAAAAAAACCCTGTCATGAATGTTTGCTATAATAAATATTGGCTCAGTGCCAGTTTGAAAAGTAGTAGGGAAAAAAAATCTGGTAATTATTATAAAGTTTATTAAAAACAATTTATGCTAAAATGGCTTCATTCCCTTTGTGGACAAGTTTGCTATATAGGTAAACAAGTGAACTGCAATAAAGTTAATATATGATGATTTCAACAAGGAGTCTGATAAAGTGTTTTGAATACCATTACCCATAACTGACATAGTGCAGGCTGAATGCAATTATGCAGGGCTCACAGCTAGTTAAAAATCACATCAGAACAGGTTATTGTTGTCAACATGTTAAGAGAGCCTCTGACCCTCTCCTACTGAGTTTTAAATAGTAACTTGGATAAAAATAGAGAAAGCATGCTTTTTAAATATGAAGATGGTACCAAAAAAAAAAGCATGTGAAAAAGGTAATATGCATGATGTAAGAAACAAAACTCAGGGGCATGAAGCCTCTAACATTAAATTAAATGAAAATAAATGTCAAGTCCTACACTGAGCAGCAAAGTGAAGAGACCTAGCATATAGCTTCATCTGAGCCAACGACAGTGTGGTCACCAGAACTGCACGGGCAGCGGAGACTGTGCTTGTGCTGAGAGGCAGCGTCCAGCTCCCACCGGCTGCCACGAGGGGCCTGGACACCTGTGGCAGGGGAAGCGCTGAGGCACCTGGGACGGAGACGGACTAAACAGAAGCGGACAGACCTGAGGGTAAAGCCCGGGTGAGCCACTGACAAACTGCCAGTGGGCACCATGACTTACCTCCCTAAGCCTCGGGTTCCTCATTCATACAATGAGGATGATAACAATGGTACCTGCTCCATGGGTTTATTTTGAGAATTACATGCCGTAAGGTATGTAAAGTGCCTAGAATAGTACCTGAAATAATAAGTATATAATACATGTTAGTTATTATTAGGTTTATGCTGGAAAAGAGGTAAGGAAGATAACAAACCATGGAGTTCCAATTATCTGAGGATGTGTCATAAAGGTCTATAATGAACCGTAAAGGGCTGGAGGCCGCAGACACGTGGGGAAGAGAAGAAGCCAAGCTGACAGGTAGATGGCGTGAGCAGAGCATTAGGAGAAGGAAGGTGGGGGCCATGGGGGAGACAGGGGGGGGTGCAAGTAGTTCAGTCCGACTGAAGTAAAGGGCTCCTCTACACATTTAAAAAGAGCAAATCTACTTCCAAACAAACCAAGATAAAAGACACCAAGGAAGCCTGGTTGGAAAAGCCATAGATACCAGCACGGGCTCGCGATGAAGTGGATGGGCTTTTGCTCATGGTCGTCCTGCTGCTGCTGCTGCGTGTGCTCGATTTCTTGGGGTGGCTCTGTCTGTGTTCCAAGGACGACGTAGAGGACAAGCTGCTGATGGATCCGGGCAGGTTAACTGAAATAGGGAAAGGGAAAGAACATACTACAGGGCCGAACACGGGAAGTGAGCCCATGAGACACCTCTCCGGGTAAATCCTTCTGAAGCTCCCCACTGAGCTTCTCTAATCATGGATCACCTGCTGCTGCTGAATGCAATGCCTGGTCTCATGCAAATACAGCTGATACATACAAGAGAGTATAACCCAAGCAACTGTACTGTAAGGATTCACACTGTATGATGACAATCTTATGCAGGACAATGTCGTCACACCAGTGGACTTACATTGGCCACCTATTCTAACCACCACTCTCTCACCTCTCACTTTCAATGGAACAGTAAAATCCCATCTTATTTATACAAACAACACTGTTAATATATTTTACGGTAACAAAGTTTAATATTAAAATGTTTTGAGTTAACCTGAAGGCAAGCGGGAATACTTCTGAATTTTCTATTCATGCTTTATTCACCCAATGATTTGACAGCTAAAGGCAACTTTAAATATTTTTATCAAGCCAGCTCACCATGTAATTTCCTTTTGCTCTCCCAATAGAGCCCAGCAGTTCTCTAATTTAAGCGGACATAAGAATCACAGTACAGGATTGTATATAAAATGTATACATATTTTAGTATAAGCTGCTTAGGGGATTATCAAGGATATATTTTTACTAGAATGATTTTTCCCTGAAAACCTTTAAAATTTAGCCCCCACAGAAGCTGTATCATTATATTACGGTAAAGTGCCATCATGAAATTAACTTTGGAGAACAGAAGTTATAAAGTGTACTACCGTCTTTCTCTGTCGCTGTTTTCAGCTCCTCGCCCGCAGGCAACGGAAGTGCTGGTTCAGAAACCGTGTCTTTCTTTGGTGGCGCTAACCCTACAATGCAATCAGAATACTTTCAGCAAGAAAGAATTTTGTTTAACGTTCTGAAATGTACGTTCTCTTTAAAGCACAGACATCCCTCATTACCTAAATCTTATCCACTGTTGAAAACATGTTGGATAATAAATTCACAGACAGCAAGGGCCAATAATTCATTATTTAAAGGGAAAAGGAAAGAATGCATTCTTAGCCCACCTAAAAACCCCAATTTCCCAAAATATCACTAAAGTATCTTTTAAATCTATTTAACACCTCATTAGGAAATTCTAAATACAGATGGCAAAATGGAGGCAGAGTGATGGAAGCTACACAGACCATCTCCCAGGACCAAACTGGAATTACAACTAAAGTAAAGACAAATTCTGTTTGTTGGGGAAAAGCAACAGAAAAGTAGCTTGTGAGGACCATATAACCAGGGACACTGAATCAATCCTGGTAGGATTGCAGAGGCACGAGAAGGGAGCTGGGAGCCCATGGACAGCAGCGGTCTTAGCTGTGAGCAGCACCCTCAGGGTTAAAATCCCAAGCCCACTCCACAGCACAGAGCCGGGACAGACACTAAAATGGCCACAGCCGTTCACCTTGTGCTCTGGCAGAGGAAGGGCAGACAGGACTGGAACGGTGTGGGGACACTCGGGATTTGGAGGGCGCTCAGAACTTTTGCTGAGTTGCGGCCATGCAGGACAGTGGCTATCTTACTCCTTCCCAGGGCTCTGGGGAGAGGCAGCAGCCTCTCCCTTGGAGATTCAATACCACCCAGGTGGGCCATTGAAATGCAAATTGAGGCTCCTTAACAACCAGCATTTGCCCTGCCCTCGGGAAATCTTCTAATGCTGAACACCTGAGGGAGTTTTTCCATTCAACTGAGAACCCAAGGCTCTTCAAGAAACCTCAACTAATAGCCTCCAGGCATAAAGCTAGAGGATAACTGAACCATTCCTGGGCTTGCAGATCTACCCAGGAAAGTAAGACTTGACAGTGGTGGTTAAGTCTTACTTATCTTAACCCTCCCACACTCATCCAAACCCAGTAGAGGGAGCCACAAACAGCAGAACACCAACACCACAGGGAAAATTTGGCTCCAAAACCCACTGAGATAGCCAAAATGGTGAAACAAAGAAACAAATCCCAATTGATGAGATAAATGAAATGCAGTTAAGCAAGTTATCAGAGGTAGAATTCAGAGACATGATCTTGAGGAAGCTCAACAGCATAAGTAAGGACATCAACACCATGAGTAAAGACATAGAAACATTAAAAATCAACCAATTGGAAATTAAAAACCACCAAGAAGAAATGAAGAATGACATAGCAGAAATAAATAACACACTGGAAGGACTAAACAGCAAACTAGAGGAAGCTGAGGAGCAGATCAGTGAATTAGAAGACGGTAGAATAATCAACTAATCAGAAAACCAAAAGGAAAAAAACAATTAAAAAACAGGAAGACATCTTAAGAGAACTGTGGGACAACTGGAAACGTAATAATATTCGCATCATGGGAGTCCCCGAAGAAAAATAAAATGAGCAAGGATTAGAGGATATATTTGAAGAAATAGTGACAGAAAACTTGGCTAATTTGGTGAAGAAAGAAGGCATTCAACTTCAAGAAGCACAGACAGTCCCAAGTTAGAAGAACCCAAACAGGCCCACACCAAGACACATAGCAATTAAAATGCCAAACATTAAATACAAAGAGAGAATCCTAAAGGCAGCAAGAGATAAGCAACAGGTTACCTACAAAGGAACCCCTATAAGGCTATCAGCTGACCTCTCAACAGAATCATTACAGGCCAGTAGGGAATGGCATGAAGTAAACAAGGTAATGAAAAACAAGGATCTGAATCCAAGACTAATCTATCCAGCAAGGCTATCATTCAAAATAGAAGATTAAATAAAGACCTTCCCAGACAAAAAAAAAAAAAGAGTCTAAGGGAATATATTAGCACCAAACCAGCATTGCAAGAAAGTTAGAAGGACTGCTACAATTAGTAGAAGAAATAGAAAGAAAAATATAACCACACTACACAAAAATGGAAATAAATAAGTACATATCAATAATCACCTTAAATGTAAATGAATTGAGTGCTCCGATAAAAAGACACAGAGTAGCTGCTTGGATAAAAAAGCATGACTCATCTATATGTTGTTTACAAGAGACCCACCTCACAACAAAAGACTCACACAGGTTGAAAGTGAAGGAATGGAAAAAAATCTTCCAAGCAAAAGGAAAGAAAAAAAAGCTGGGGTAGCAATACTCATATCTGATAAAATAGATTTCAAAATGGAGGCCATAACTAGAGACAAAGAAGGTCACTACATAATATTGAAAGGATCTATCCAACAGAAAGACATAACCCTGGTAAACATATATGCACCCAATATAGGAGCACCAACATATATTAAAAATCTTCAGGAGGAATTTAAAGGAGAAATTGACAGCAATACAATCATAGCAGGGGACTTCAACACGTTGCTGACATCACTGGATATATCCTCTAGACAAAAAAAAATTAACAAGGAAACCGAGACTTTGAATGAAGCACTAGACCAAATGGATTTAATAGATATCTACAGAGAATTACACCCCAAAACTACAGAATTCACATTCTTCTCAAGTGCAAATGGGACATTCTCAAAGATAGACCACATGTTAGGGCACGAACTAATTCTCTGCAAGTTCAAGACTGAAATTATATCAAGCATCTTCTCCGATCACAACAGTATGAAACTAGAAATCAATTGCAACAAGAACATGCAAAGACATTTGAGCACATGGAGGCTAAATAGCATGTTATTGCACAATGAATGGGTTACCAAGGAGATCAAGGAAGAAATTTAAAATTTCCTGGAAAACCAATGAAAATGAACACACAACAACACAAAATATATGGGATGCAGTGAAATCAGTTCTGAGAGGGAAGTTCATAGCACTACAGGCCTACCTCAAGACACAAGAAAAATTTATAATAGACTATCTAACCTCACAACTTAAAAAACTAGAAAGCAAACAAAAAGAAAACCCCAGAGCAAGTAGAAGAAAGGAAATAGTCAAGATCAGAGCAGAAATAAATGACATAGAGACCAAAAAAACAATTCAAAGGATCAATGAAACAAAGAGCTGGTTCTTTGAAAAGATTGATGAACCCTTAGCTAGACTCACCAAGAAACAAAGAGAGAGAACCCAAATACACAAAATCAGAAATAAAAGAGAAGAAGTAACAACTGACACCACAGAAATACAAAGAATTGTTAACAAATACTATGAAAAATTATATGGCAACAAATTCAACAATCTAAGCGAAATGGAAAAATTTCTAGAAACGCATAGTCTCCCAAAACTGAACCGGGAAAAGATAGAAAACTTGAACATACCAATAACAACTAAGGAAATTGAAGATGTAATCAAGACTCTCCCAGCAAACAACAGCCCAGGCCTGGATGGCTTCACAGGGGAGTTTTACCAAACATTCAAAGAAAAACTAACACCCATTCTTTTCAAAGTATTTCAAAAAATCCAAGAAGAAGGAAGACTTCCAAACTTGTTTTATGAGACCAGCATAATTCTAATTCCAAAACCAGAAAAAGACACTACAAAGAAAGAAAACTACAGGCCAATATCCCTGATGAACATAGACGCCAAAATCCTGAACAAAATACTAGTAAATCGGATCCAGCAATACATCAAAAAAATTATTCACCATGACCAAGTGGGATTCATCCCAGGGATGCAAGGCTGGTACAATATTCGCAAATCAATAAATGTGATATACCACATAAACAAAATGAAAGATAAAAACCACATGATCATATCAATAGATGCTGAAAAAGCATTCGACAAAATCCAGCACTTATTTCTGATAAAAACGCTCAGCAATGTGGGAATAGAGGGATCATATCTTGACATAATAAAGGCCATATATGAAAGACCTACAGCCAACATCATACTCAATGGGCAAAACTAAAAGCATTTCCCTTAAGAAAAGGAACAAGACAGGGATGCCCACCTTTGCCACTCTTACTTAACATAGTACTGGAAGTCTTAGCCACAGCAAGCAGACAGGGAGAAAAAATTAAAGGGATCCAAGTTGGAAAGGAGGAAGTGAAACTGTCATTATTCGCAGATGACATGATATTATACATAGAAAATCCTAAAGACTCCATCAAAAATCTACTAGACTTAATAAATGAATTTGGCAAAGTAGCAGGATACAAAATTAACGTCAAGAAATCAACGGCATTCTTATACATCAATGATGAACTCACAGAAACTAAAAAAAAAAAAAACAATCCCATTTACCATCGCGGCAAAAAAAAATTAAGATACGTAAGAATAAACTTAACCAAAGAAGTAAAGAACCTATTTTCAGAAAACTACAGAACATTGGAAAAAAAATTGAGAAAGATATAAAAAAGTGGAAGCACATACCTTGTTCATGGATTGGAAGATTTAACATCATTAAAATGTCCATCTTACCCAAAGCAATCTATAGATTCAATGGTATTCAAAATACGAACAACATATTTCACAGAACTAGAACAATACTTCAAAAGTTCATGTGGAACCAAAAAAGAGCCCAAATAGCCACAGCGATCTTGATAAAGAAGGACAAAGTAGGTGGGATCACAATACCGAATGTCAGATTATACTACAAAGCTACTGTAATCAAAGTAGCCTGGTACTGGCACAAGAACAGTCATATAGACCAGTGGAACAGAACAGAGAACCCGGAAATTAACCCAAGACATTAAGATCAATAAATATTTGACAAAGGTGGCAAGAGCATACCATGGAGTAAAGACAGCCTCTTTAATAAATGGTGTTGGGAAAATTGGACAGCTACATGCAAAAAAATATAAGTAGACCGTCAACTTACACCACACACAAAAATAAACTCAAAATGGATAAAAGACTTAAATGTGACTCATGAATCCATTAAAATCCTAGAAGAAAATGTAGGCAACAAAATTTCAGATATCATACGCAACAGAAT